TTATCGGGCACGAGTCGTGCAACCCGTAATTACAACAGAACAAAATCAATCATCTCAATACATTGTTTATGGCAGTTCCCATGTGTATGAAACGCCATCAATGCATTCTCGCGTATAAAGGTAAGCGCCTCGAGCACTACCTAGCGCATTGAGCACTACTGCAGTGCATTTGTGCGCTTTATGAATCTTATTGTTATTATTACTATTATTATTATTATTATTATTATTATTATTATTATTATTATTATTATTATTGTTATCATTATTATTATTATTATTATTATTATTATTATTATTATTATTATTATTATTATTATTATTATACAGCGATTTTCTATAATTAGGAATAATATCTGCCTCATACATCATAGCTATTGCATTAATGATAAAGAATGTAAAGAGATATTATACGATTTTGAAAACCCTAATCTATGTTATGATTGGGCTACAAATATTTTGCGAATAAATTAGGAAAAAACGCTGCAACAAACAAATATGACATAATTTATCACAGCCTTTGGCATTCCATACATGTGAATGTCGAATCGAGGTCATTTTATGTATAATGTTGGCTAGTCCTTCTCTGATTACATTTACCTGTACTTGTAAGAAACGTAGAAACGTAATCACTTTCGTTAACTGATTGTAAGTAAGACATGACGTCAGAAATTAATTACCAAACGTGAAAATATGTAGCCGAGATTAACTTGTCTCATGGGTGAAGTTTACACGACTCTTTTGTATCGTATACATTACAAGTTTCAAATTTATACATTGAAATGTAATAAGGAATCGGACAAGGAATGGAAAAGTCTCAACGTTTTAAAAAAAATTTATATCAGACTCTTCTTCTGAAACATTTCAATTAATATTTATTCCATACATTATTCAATATTAAATCATGGTACAACGAAATAAATTCTATACCGTCTTGCGGTAGGCCTAGTTCTATAAATATATAAATAAACATTGAGCGTTAATGAAGAGGAATCTGCGAGCGTGAAAAAAGGATAGGCCTATATATATATATGGTATTTTATGTGTATTCTATGTGTAAAATATTAAAAATATTAAAATAATAAAATATTGATTCTGGTTTTATTTCTTAAAGCAGATAACGTGTGAATAATCAGAAAATATGATTATAGCAGCACGTCATCAACTTTCCGCCATTTTGGATCAAAATCTAAGTTAATTGATTACAGAAATCGAAACTATTTTTTCGTATTTTGTTTTATGAGGAAGTAGTTGAATTTGACAAATAAAATACAATTTCCTTTAATAAGTAATAAAAAGATAACAGGACTACTGGACGCGAGGCATTCGTCAAAACGATTAAATAGCGTGTTAAATTTAATTCATTTCTCCCTAAACGACGTCTTGGAAATTATCAAAAAGGCAAACAAGAAGTTATGTACGATACACGATGATGATGATGATGCTCATGATGATTTTATTAATAATAATAATATTAATAATCAGAGGCGGATTTAGGGGGGGGGGTGGTATCGGCCGCCTCCCCCGCCCTTTTTGGGAGGTAAAAAAAGAAAAATAAAGAAAGAAGGAAAGAAAGGAAGAGAAAAAATTGAATACGCCACAGAGTTTATTTTCTGGCGTCTAAAACACACAAATTTCGCGGGGGCATGCTCTTGGACACCCTTTCGCCCCACCCCCCACCTTCTGCCCCTCTTATAATATTCCAGCCAAACAGTTTAACTTGCATAACGTTGTTATAAACGTAATTTTCAACTAAAATAATGACGTTCGTTATGTGAAGGGAAGCCCTGAAAAGTAATTAGAAATGAGGTGATTTTTTAACTGGCTGAGCAAATTTCAATTAGGGGACCCCTAGGGGTAAGTTTGTTTTTGTAAATATACGGCATCTCCAAGGGCACAAGACTTGCTCAGACTCGACCCTACATTTTCCTTTAACAGAGTAAATGTACATTTGATATGGTGTTTACGTGCTTCTAAAATATTTGTTTTGTGTTTTTAAAATAATGTTAGCAATCCCACCCAGAACCATTACTGGAAAAAGTTCACACGTGCGAAACAAAACTATCTTGAGTTGAGCGTCTCATCACTCAACCACGACTCCACAGCTAAAGGTCCGAGGACCAACAAGTGCGCCCTCTGGAGCCAATACTTACCGAAACTTGCCAGGGACACGGGTAAGCATTAAGATATATTTATTAATATTAGGCCTATAATTAAGTGACTCAGAGAGTGACTAGCAAAGATAGGGCTTCGGTAGTACATGGGACTGTTTTGGTCAAGAGTTATTAACATGACTCTCAAGGAAGAAACGAGAATGCGTTCTGCCCAGGGGTGGGGTGAAAGTGTTGACGAGCCAAAATGAAAACCTTTTTTTTTTTTTGGGGTGGTGCTCCTGTTCTTATTATTGAGTCTCATGCATTCTAGTCATTTTAATCTTTCACCTGAGCGACTTTTTGGCTAGAGTTTGGGGGAGAGTTTTCACCTTCCTTGAATCCGCAGTGACTGGGAATGGAAGCCATGCATCTTACACCAAGGTACACTTATACCCGATACATTAGTATCATTATATCATCTTAAGTGAAAGCAAAGCAAGAAAAAAAATTAATCGATGAACAAACCCACACAGATTCTTGTGTTTCCGCTAAACTCCTATCCTGGAGATGTTGCTACGGTGTGGAGTCATACAGCCTAAACGTACGTAAACTTACTTGTTTTTGGGACATTAAATAACATTTTTTTTTTATTGTGAAGCTGAACAAACAGGGGCGGATCCAGTACCACCCCCCCCCCCCGTCAGTCCCGTCGAAAAATTCAAAAATAGATGAAGAAAAAAATAGTGAGAAGAGAAAAGAGAGGAAAGATGTAAATATAGAAGTGTCCCCATGAGTCCATTGGCGGATTTAGCAGTGGGCGAGAGGAGTGCTCTATTATTTTAACAATAATTTTGATTTTTCTATTAATTGACGACGAACACAACGCTATATCCTCGACACCGATTTCAAACGATTTCACAGGACAGGATGGCAAAAAAGGGCCAAAAGACGGCACCCAAGACGGGGTTTTTCAGCCATTATTTTATTATGGTATGGTAGTAGTACGCCCAGCTAGAACAGCTATCCGTGCTTGGAAATGTCTGTTCCAAAATTGGTACCTTTTCCCTAATGTTCTCTCATTAAATTCAATACAGATAGGTCCTCTAATATAGGGGGCGTTGTTTAGGACGTTCGCTATTTTGTCGACAGAATAGCATTTTGTTGAGACAGAATGCTATGTTAGTATTTTGTTGGGAAAAAATGCTATTTTGTCGACAAAATGAATTCTGTTACCATAAATGATGATTTTGTCGACAAAATGCTATTATGTAAGACATAATTTATTTTGTCACCACAAAACGCTATTGTCGACAATTGTATTTTTGTAAGACGGAATTAATTTTATCACCACAAAATACTATTGACATAATGCCTTTTTCTAAGACAAATGGTATTTTGTCACAACAAAAGTCTATTTTGTCGACAAAATAGGATTTTTTTCGAGATAAAATGATATTTTGTCGACAAAATAGCGAATGCCCATAACGGCGCACGGTACGATTAGACCTTCGCGACGCCCGTGGAGGGGTGTCTAGGGGAGAGGGAGCATAAATCCCGTCGGGAAGAAATCAATAATTTTGTCGCGGAACGCACTGCCGTCATGAGAGGAGTGCCATTTTCGAGCATCTATTGGTGCCTATTTTTAAAATTTACTCACCTCAGTCCCAACCATGGTAACGCCAAGGTGGGTATGGACTCTATATTGTGCCCCCCTCCCCCGCCACAAAATTTCTGGATCCGCCCCTGACAAAAATACATATTTCAAAAGCTTATCAATAATTTTCTTCCCTTCGTTGCTTGTTATCGTTAATTGTTGAACTAACAAAAATACTTTACTGCTACGGTAGGTAAATTTAATAAATATTACACAATAACATAAATGATAATATTAATAATCACAATTATTCAATCTATTACACAGCCGACATCAAGGAATCGGAGATGGAATGGAAGAAAGAATTTCATCAGTGGAGTAATGAATACATGGTTGCATGGAAGGCTGAATTTAATAACTATATAGCAGACAAGGAGAACAAATGCGCGGGGACAGGAAAAGGCGCCAATCGCAATGAGCTGTAGCGCCTGATGGATTTCTCTATGGACGCACTTTAATGGACGAGTATCAAGAGGGTGGCACTGATTGCTTGTATAATTGAATACGCCACAGGCTCAAGTGTGCATCCGAATGCATATAATAATATTATGATATAGCATTATGACCTCATATCAATAGACACAAAATAGTGAAGACGAAAGCAATATTGTTTTTGAACTTAAAGTACACCAAATAAGCCTAAACTTTTCACGTTTATTTCATCGCAGAAGGGAAACGACCAAATCGGATACCTTGTAGACAGATTTGCATTCAAAATCAAAGACAGTTAACCTTATAGATATATCTTTTTATATTGTATACGATGTGGAAATTATGTATATAACATTACATTTGTAAGTATTTGTATTTAAGTCCATTTGTTCATGAACAAATTAATAGTTGATATTCAGATATCTGGTAACAGATTGAATCAAATTGAAGTACATAGCAACATACTGTAACAATAAATAGGTCTATCAGAAGAGGAAATACGATATTTGTATATGGATTGTCACATGACCAACTTGAGCTGAATAATCTAAAATATAAATCGCAGCAATAGAAAAATAAGTAGCTTCGTGCTACCGACCTTACAACTCGGTATTCTCCACGTATCACGTCATGGCATTCATTGCGTGCACACACACAGATGACACGGGCGTCCTGATATAATACGCTTTATCAAAGCAAATTACATAGCGGAGGCTTCAAGACGTTTACATTTAAGTACCTTAAATGCATGCAGACTAAGTAAAGTATGACGTAGGCCTATGTACTGAAACAGTTGATGAAATGTAATATTATTATGCTAAGTTTTTATAATTATTGTTCCGCCAATGCTAAACGGTATATTTATTACTTTTAATTCAGTTATAGTTTTATTTTTATCACACGACCTGAA